CTTACCATGTTTTTCCAGGTGGCACCCCGTGGAGGCTTTTGTTTGGTTAAAGGTTCGGCAGGAAGTAAATTTAAATTGCTTGTTACCTCGTATCCGGCACAATGGTGGGTAATAAACCTTATGGTCTGACATTAAAGGAATCAAGGATGAGTTTGACATGTTTGATATATTTCTGTTTAATAATAATAATAAAATGACAGAATAATTTCGAGGAAGTAAAAAAAATAAACCTGGAAAGTCCACACCGAGCCAACTAGTTCCAAGTTAAATAGAGTTTATGTTATGTGTATTAGACAACTAGATATAGATACTTTTTTATAAATACATACATAATATGTTAAATAATATTATGAGGTTCTGTTGTGTATAAATATATATATAATATAGGTATGTTGTGTCATATTGCCATGCGCTTTCAGGGCGTCACAAAAAAATTGTAAAAACTCAACCACACTCTGTATGCACGTGCTTTATGTTTTTGTGAAACTGCAATAAATAAATAAATATACATAGAAAACACCCAGACCGATGGAAACAATCATTCTCATATATATAAATGGAATCGAAACCACGACCATTCGATGCGGTGTACCAAACCACTAGACTATTATGCTATCAGGCTAAGCTGTCCATTAGTGATTTGATGAAAAATAATTCAGAAGTATCGATATGAAACAAATGATCTAAAATATAAACACGTTTTTATAAAACAGTTTTGAATTCCGTCACTAGAATATTTAAATTGTTTTTCTATGTACCAAGTTTTAATTGCTGATTTTATAATTAACTTACCTAAATTTGTTGCAAATTTTATTAATATAGAATGGAGGATGGTTAACTTCTGCGAATACGAGCATAGAATGAGAATTATCGGTGTTAAAATTAAATCTATACTAACACCAATGTTTGTCTGTCGGTAGATACGTCAGTGTTAATATTTTAGGGTTGTTTAATTGGAAAACATGTGTGATTACATAAATAGATGTTAGGTACGTGGATTTAACTGATATTTCTTACGTTTTCACGTCCAAACAGCTGAATGAATCTTAATAAAATTTAAGTAAATTAAACTATTTATTAACTTTGTTTTTGTTATTTTTGATCTTTAAATAATTTTTATTACTATTTTTTTTTGCACATGATAATGGAATGGTGCACCTGCCTGCGCTAACGGTTTACGCTGGCGGGCACCAGTGGAGGATGATAAGATGAACATGAGGTCAGGTCAGTTAGTCCATCGGGAAAAATTCACCAAGAATTTATCACGATGGCTTCCAGGGGGAACCGCGTGGAGGTCGACCTAACATGGTACATTGTTAGCAGTGGGAGTTACTACTTCCCATTACTAACAATCCTCTTTCCCCCATGGATTACTATTTTGTTTGTGTTGAAGATATAAACAAATTATATACCTGTGTTTGTGACACAACTTTGTGTGTACACTATTTTATATGTATAGGACAATATGAATAATAAAAATGAATTATTTTAGATTAAGTATATATTTAATATAGGTACGTAGACTATCATCATTACATTACTATGAAATCAATGACAATTATAGAGAAAAAGTTTAGTCATAGACAACCTGCCAAGTTAGCGCTTTCAATTCATTTCACACACAAAATCGTGTCTCATAGGTAAAAATAAAATATTCTGAAGTTAGAATAAAAAATTCTCAATAATCTGCAGAATTTGCCAACAAGAAACGCCACTACACATATTGTGTGATTCTAGCCCACTCGTGCAGATACGAAATATATTCTTTGGAAAGTATTCACTCTATCCTGAGGAGATAGAACCATCGCTTCTAAGAATATCCTACAATTCTTGTCCCTGACGGGTGTATGTAGTGAACTTTGAAAAAGGGCGAGCACTATAGACCTATGCAGGTCTTAGTACATAACATAAGCCTAAAACCTTAAAAAATAGCATAAAACATGACAGTACATGATAATATTATCACTGTCATAAAATAAAACAAATTTCTCGAGAAGGGCGAGACAAAAACCATATCAGAGGGGCACATCGTAAAATAAATTACCCTTCGTTTGCATATAAAATCGTGCAATATTAAAACGTGTGATAACCAATTTTATGATAGCTTATCATAAAATCCTTTCCAATCTATACCTTATAGAAACATTTATATATAGTGTAGTTGTTAAGTTTTTTTTATATATTTAGGCTGTATATGATAATTCTCTTGCTATTTAGTTATAAAAAAAATGTTTTTTTTATTCTATAATATTTTTTCACTACTACTAAGGTGGCAAACAAACATACAGCCCATTTGATGGTAAATGGTAACCGTAGCCTCCGCCTGAAACAGAGGTGTCACGTGCGCGATGCGGATATGTTTTTTTTTTATTGCATAGAGTGTTGGTACTATTTTTTTTTTGAGAAATTATTTAATTTCATATCACAGGACAATTCACACAGCCGCCATCTAGTTCCAAGCTAAGTAGAATTTGGGTTTTAGGTACTAGACAACATACATAGATAGATGGTTTTTTTTGTAAATTAATTCATAATATACACACAAAACACTCAGACCTATAGAAGCAATCATATTGATGAATACAAATATTTGTTGAATAGAACTCATACAAATAATCATAATTTTGAAAAAAAATATTTGTTGTTTGAATAAAAGAGAACCCGCTACCATCGGAAATAAGGGTTTCCAAACCCCTACACCACTGACGAAGTCTGTATATAGTTTATATGTGAATCCTATCCTATCCTAAAAGAGTTATTGTAAAATCCTGTGGGAAAATAGAAATACCTCCTATTTGGCATACAGTGTGGATACAGCCCCGGGGTTACCATATAATACTAAGAATGTTACAATATAAAGTTACAATTAATTGTGTTGCTATACGATTTTACAGCTCGTAAATTCTAAATAGGTTACACACCTACATCTTTCATTAAGCCTACGTCCTTATAAAGGTTACATAAATGTTTATAAGGAAATACTGTATGAACTCTGTGAAGTTTTACATCTATTACAAATGCCATTTGAATTTCATTAAAGACACAAAAAACAACTGAGCTACATTAGTTTTTATACAAATTCAAATTCAAAATATCTTTCTTCATGTAGGCCTATTACAGGCTCTTATGATATGTCAAATCTACCGTCAGTTCGGAATGATTTCGAGATGAGAAGAACTGACCAGAAACTAAGCTCGTATTCTTATATACAGATTAATAATTTTTAAATTCAAACTTGGGAGAATAGAGTGACCAACAGCATATGCTATTGCAAAAGCAATAGTCTAATCAATGTTCGCAATTATTACATAAAATAAAATAACAAATCAATCCTTATATATCCTTATTTATGTAGATTTGATATTATATGTCTGTAACATATAATATGTCAAATCTACCGTCAGTTCCGAGTGATTTCGATCTAAGAAGATAAGAAATTCAGCTCTTATTCTTTTCAAATGTGTTTATGAGTACAAAACAGAAATTTATTTTTAAATTCAATTAGAACGTAATGACTACCAACATGTGCTATTATAGTTTAGCATATGCATATATATTTTATTTTTTTCTGTATTTATCTATTTTTTTTTTATTAAATATTGAACTGCACCGACTTATTCTCTAATAAACGCGATGGTTGACTGGTAGATAATGCCATCAGGCATATGTGATAAACGTGATGGTTGACTGGTAGATAATGCCATCAGGCATATGTGATAAACGCGATGGTTGACTGGTAGATAATGCCATCAGGCATAAAGTCCGCCACGTATACATTTTTGTGTGCAAAATAATAAATCAATAAATACAGTGTTCACTAGCATATGCATTTTTGTCAAAAGGACATAACCTAATTAGTGATCGTAACCAGAACGGGCGAAACCGGGGCGAGTAGCTAGTATATTTATAAATTAATTGGGGAGATTTTAGGGGGAATTAGGCAACATTTGGGGAAAACAAGATAGTTCTCAGACAATACTGAGTTAGAAGCTTGTAATAATAATATTTACTTGTTTACGTTGTAATTTACTGTAACATCTAATTTCCGTGTACGTCCCTTAATGTCGCTTCTAATTTACAGATACAGAGAGAAAACATTCCAAAAAACAAAAAAATATCGTAAATTTTCTTAATTGGTTTCATCAACATATAGCTGTTGCAATTATTTGTCTCTAATTATAATATGACTTTCTGAGAGAAAGGTCTTTGTTAGTAATGTCAGCTAATGAACATGTACAATATCAGGTTTTTATCTGCGCGCGATTCCTCCTGAAACCATCGTGATATACTAAGGAATTTTTCAGGATGGGCTAACTGACCTGACCTCATGCTCATCTTATCATCCTCCACTGGTGCCCCGCCAGCGTAAACCATTAGCATGGGCAGGTGCACCGTTTTATTATTGTCTATAGCTACCTACATGAGCTTAAAACACGAGTTCTGCTTAGCTTGCGACTAGATGGCGCTGTGTAAATTGTCCGAAGATATTATTATTTTTATGTTACTAACTACCTGTCCCACGCAACTTCGTCTGCATTACAGTTACTTGACATTCATCAATATATTGCACCCAATTTATTTAATATCTTTTCAAATTATAGTCTGTGTGTTATTCTGATGTAGAAGCTACATTATTGTAAAGTTTCATCAAAATTCATTCAGTAATTTGTGCGTGATAGAGTAACAAATATTACTCCATCTATACTCACGAACTTTCACGTTTATAATAATTATAATGTTTCAGGACAATTCAGACAGCGCCATCTAGTCCTAAGCTAAGCAAAGCTTGTGCTATAATTACTAGACAACTCATGTATTTAACATGTATATGTTTTTTTTTGTTAATACATAATACACATAGAAAACATCCAGACCGATATAAACAATCATACTCATGAATGCAAATGTTTGTACCATACGAGGAATTGAACTCGCGACAATCAGACGTAAAGCAATGTGCTAAATCGCTACACCACCGAAATCGAAGTAAGGTCACTTACCTGCGTATGAGAGTAAAACATGGAGAAGTTGGACACGATGACAGGAACTGGTAGAGCTATGGTGAGCACGCCAGCTAAAGCGCACAGTGCTCCAACGAACATCCCCAGGTACGTCTTGGGAGCCATGTCGCCGTAACCCACGGTTGTCATGGTAACAATGGCCCACCACAACCCGAGGGGGATCGACTTGAACTGGTTGTCGGGGTTATCCTGAAAATGTTTTTTTTTTGTTTAGAATCAAATAAAAAAACAGCACAAGTTTACTTCTTATTACAGACAATAAATATCTATTTATTCGTTTAATTATTATATTGTCTTGTGTGTGCCATCTACCTTTTCTATATATGCTAATCCTATTGCTTGTAAGCAGGTTGTCTGTAAGAAATTGCTTATAGCGATAAGATCGTATTTTGTCATTAATTTTTTATTTATAATATAATAAATAAAGAAGATTTAATTTTTCTTTTTATGATCATAGAGTATACAATAAAAATAATATTACCACAGAATAAAATATTCTTTGCTCATAATAGTCAGAACTATTCGCACAGCTCCATCTAGTTATATGCTAAGCAGAGCTTGTCTAGTACCTATAGGTACTAGAGATCATTATCATCATCTGCTTCTTCCTTATCTCATTTATTTGGGGAATAGATAACTGATATTAATACTTTTTTTTAAAATACATTCACATTATATATAGATAACACCTACACCGATACAAACAATCATACTCATCAATACAAATGTTTGTACCGGGCGAGGAATCGAAGCCGCGACCATCGGAAGTAAGGCATGTGCTAAACCACTAAACCACCGTACCCTACGTAATATTATACAATTAATTTCCAGATATAAATCGTTTGGAACTCTTTGAAAAATTAAAAAAAAAGTATCTCGACTCAAGAGTAATAGACTATACAATGTAAATATTAAAATGTCTGCAAAATGGACCCTTTCACCTGGTGATAGACCACTTTATTATTCAAACAACCGGTTGATTATACAATGTAAATTGGATTCTTATCAAAATTCAATATCCAAGTTGAATGGGACCCAGTTAATCGAGTAGATGGCGCCACAAAGACGCCAGTTAAGTGGTTTTTAACAGATTTAGAAAGGGTGATTTCGCGTATGTTGACATCGGTGATCTAGCTGTTTAGCACACTGCCTTAGATTCAATGGACACGGGATCGATTCCTCACACGGTACAAATATTTGTATTCATGTACTTTTTTGTATTTGATAGAGACGTGTCAACTCGAGTTAACTCGAGTTGTTTCCGCTAACTCGAGTTGGATGAATACATCTGGTAAATGAACGAATCAAGTGAAAGAGCGAGAGCATGATTCCGTCATCAAACCGACAATGACATGAAATTTTCTGATCATTTCATATCGTCACAAACATTTCAATATTGATTTGAGGTTGTTATAAATTTTTTTTCGCATATTCGTCCGGTTATGTTACCTTTAAAATGATTATGCATTCCATAAGTCCTTCCGCGGCTTTATAGCGCCATTTCTACTCGCTCCCTATAGTTCGGTGAAGCTTTCAAAGCTAGCTGCGCCCAAAAAAAATTAAATTGTTCGAAAAATAAAAGAAAAAAAAACTGTTTATTCCAGGTAACCCGAGTCAACTCGAGTTACCTGAATTTACTCGAGTGATGATTAACTCAAAAAAGTTTAAATTGTTCGAAAAATAAAAGAAAAAAAAATGTTTATTCCAGGTAACCCGAGTCAACTCGAGTTACCTGAATTTACTCGAGTGATGATTAACTCAAAAAAGTTTAAATTGTTCGAAAAATAAAATAAAAAAAACTGTTTATTCCAGGTAACCCGAGTCAACTCGAGTTACCTGAATTTACTCGAGTGATGATTAACTCAAAAAAGTTTAAATTGTTCGAAAAATAAAAGAAAAAAAAACTGTTTATTCCAGGTAACCCGAGTCAACTCGAGTTACCTGAATTTACTCGAGTGATGATTAACTCGAGTCATGTTTATTACGAGTTAGCACATCTCTAGTATTTAATGTAGTGCTCAAATTAAAAAGGTGTAACTTATTGGTTTGACCATTTTACATATTTATTTATATAAGTCAACATTAAAATAAAGTTAATTATATTTGTAACTAGCTACCCACCCCGGCTTCACACGGATGTACATATATTATGTACTATAAAGAAAGGCTTCAAAGTCCGGTGTCCGTAATTTTAAAGGTTTAAGCATACATAGGGACGGACAGATAGCGACAGCGACTTTGTTTATGCGATTTAATAACAACTTCATATCTATAATATTTAAACATCAGTTTCTAATTCATTATAGCATTGGTTTAGCTTATTCAGATTTAGATTGAAAGATTAAAGTACTTAATCTATACATATAAATAAAATTGGAGTGTCTGTTTGTACTACATGCATATGAATATAAATACGGTACATACACCAAAATTAATTTTTTACAATTTTTGTCTATCTGTCTGTCTGTTTGTTCCGGCTAATCTCTGAAATGGCTGAACCGATTTTGACGGGACTTTTTTTGGCAGGTAGCTGATGGTTGTATACGTATTTCTGTATAAATAATATATTCATTCAGAAAAAGCTGGAGTCGTGTCGTATCAACAGCTAAAGGGACTGATAGAAGATCGTGGAAGGTGGCGGGAGCTCCACCGACAAGAGCACAGCTCTTAAATTATGAATGAATGAAATAATATATATATTATATAAAATTAAATTGTCTGTTTATAATATTGAAATAACCGTTTTTACTACATGCATATGAATCATCAGCTACCTGCCAAAAAAAGTCCCGTCAAAATCTATATATATGTTTAAGTTTGAAGTAAAATGTAGAGATTTTCTGGTTTTATATTTAAAAAATTCCACATATGAGTATTGTAAAGCAAACAATAGCCCATTTTAATCTGCAGATATGTTTCTCTACGTTTTATTGTGGCACACGTCGGCCGGCGTGTACTAGGAATACATAAAATTTTATACGTCTAGAAATCGCTTCGGAGCCCACGTGTTATGTTTTATTTTTCTTACGCAATACTTCTGAGACCGGACTGGTGGTATTTGGAAAAAAAATAGATTTTCCTATTTCACTATTTATATTGGAAAATTTATTTATTTGTGACTAGCTATCTGCCCTATATTTGCTCGGGTGTTAGTATATCATTTCATAGTATAAAACAAAGTCGCGGTCTGTCCCTATGTATGCTTAAATCTTTAAAACATCTTCTTAGTCGGTACACTCTTGTCAGAGTGGTCGTGGTCAAAATTTTGAAACACCATGAGCGAGGTTTTTGGTAATACGGCGCCATTCATCGAGGACTGCAGCTTTCCGGGTACATTCGTAAACTGAGCACTTAGTTGCGGCCTTGATCTGGTCTGTCCATCTCATTGGTGATCTACCACGTGGCCTGGTGCCTTCCACTTTTCCCTGCATATTCTTTAAAACTACGCAACGGATTTTCAAGCGGTTTTTTTAAATAGATTGATTGATTCTAGGGGAAGATATATATATATATATATATATATATATATATAAACACCTCTTTGGGCACTTTGTTGATCACGCCACAACCTAAACACTTGCTGATTCCACCTTTTGCACTGAATAACTTGACTCCTATCGCGTATATCTCAGGCGGTATGGCAACGTCGCATTCTACTTTGCGATGTGGCCATATATATTCGTCGATAGTACGATATACTCGACACATTTTTTACTAATAATTCGTGCATGACTGGCTCCGAACGGCTAAATTTTTGGTATACACAAAGACTTTTTGGCTCTGAATATATTTCAAAAATCAATTAATTATGTTGATCACTTTATATACTCGTCCTTACTGCGATACTTATTTTCATCCGAATATATATAGATACCGTAACGGTCTATCAATTATTAATTTATTAATTTACTAATGTAGATATTTTATATTCGCAATGCTCCATACATGCAAGCTCCAGCAACGGTGGAGCAGGGTCCCCCCGCACCGTACACCGCACCTCGCGCACACAAACAAATTAGATATTTTTTGAATACACAAAGACTTTTTGGCTCTGTATATATATTTCAAAAATCAATTAATTGTGTTGATCACTTTATATACTGGTCCTTACTGCGATACTTATTTTAATCCGAATATATATAGATACCGTAACGGTCTATCAATTATGAATTTACTAATCTAGATATTTTATATTCGCAATGCTCCATACATGCAAGCTCCAGCAACGGTGGAGGCAGGGGGGAGCACCGTACACCGCACCCCGCGCACACAAACAAATTAGAATAAATTAAATTCATAAGATTATTTATATATTTCGACTGCCTCGGTGGTCACACCGCTTTACATCCGATGGTCGCGGGTTCGATTTCTCGCACGGTGTAAACATTTGTACTCATCGGTCATCGATTGTTTTCATCGGTCTGGGTGTTTTATATGTATTTACAAAATAAAAATATCTATTTATATCAGTTCAGTATCAGTCTGTGTTAATTGTCCAGGGCTATTTAATATATTTTTATAGACGGTTATCTTTTTCCATCGCACCGCTCGCTATCGACAGTGAATTCATAGAAATGTCACTCTAAAAACAAAAATAGTTTTGTGTTTAGTATTTCATATACTAAATGCAAAAATGGTATTTTCAAAATACTTTATAAAAATTAAGTACCTTTTGAATGTTTGTCCAAACCTCAGATATTTTATTTATTTTAGGTATATCAATCATTACATAGTAATATAAAAACAAAGTCGCTGTCGCATCTAACAGTACATAAACAAAGAAAGAAGACTTTGGCTCTGATACCGTAACGGCCTATGAATTATGAATTTATTATACCTAATCTAGATATTTTATATTCGCAATGCTACGTACATTGTAATATCCGCCTCCATTCATTGTAACGGTGGAGGGACTAAATAGTTGAATAAAACTGAATAAGCAGTTGCTCCACTCTATAGGTACTGCGTCGTCGTCGTATGCTGTTCATTTTTTCACTCGTTTTGGCGCCAAGAGAGGGTCACATAGTCGTGGTCAAGTTAAGAACTTATAATTTAATTTTGATAACAATAGATACAAGTAAAAAGTAGGTATTATATTAATGTACGTAAGTACTGTACTTAAAAATATTTATTCTTTATTGTACATTTGAAAAACTTAACACTTAAGGACTTGTGTGTGACATATACAC